CGCCCAAGCAGCCTATTTATGAGGTTCATGACTTGCTCCCACCGCTAGCCCTGGTTCGGCTAGGAGATAACCCGCAAGTTATAGATCCAAGTGCGACTCCCTACTGCCAGTATCACCGCACGAGCACACATACCATAGAGGAGTGCGGCGCTTTAAACATTGAGATCGAGAAGCTCATCCAGCGTGGCCGGGCGGCAGTGTTGAAAAAATCGTGCATAGGCGCTAGGCGGTCGGCCGCCTAGGCGTTCTAGGCGCTCTAGGCGCCCTAGGCGGTCTCCAAGCGCCTAGAGATTTTTTCAACATTGTCAGCCGGTACCTCCAAACCAACGGCGCCAACCTGGATTGCCTTAGCACTCAGACACAACACCACACCCGGCTAGCAAATCGGTTGACAAGGTCAAGCATCTGGTTTGAGAGGAAGAGAGTGATCATAACTGGAAGCATAAACCAGTCAAATCTAGTTGTAGGCGGCCCGAAAGGAGGAGACACAGCGGACGCCTAAAAGGCATGGGCCTGACAGCTGTACGTGGGGGTGGATTGTGATAATCCAAAATACTTTTCAATAAAGTTTCTCTTTTACCAAAATTCTCGAAATAAAGTTATTTATATGATTTTATTCCTACAACATTTTTGCCCCAAATAAGTATATAAATAAAATTTTTATACTTTTTATTTTGAATGATTTAGTATAAAATATTTATATAATTATTTATGATTTTAAAAGCATTATTTAAATGATACATTTATTATTCAAAGTCTTGACCCAAAGGTCTATATGAGACAAACCTGTGAACCTAATAACAATGTTGTTAGCCCAAACTTGAATTCAAAACGAACCTAACTTATTTCCATAATAAACAAATTATATTTTTACCCGAACTTGATCCAACTTTTGACCCAAAATTATAACCCTTGGCTTTAACCCACAAAATGACCCTTCTACCCTCTCCTAGCCGTGTACCCTCCATACCATACTGATGTGCTTAATTGCACTTTTAAAAAATTTAACGACCTAATTAAGTTTTCAAGTAAAAGTTAGGAGTGTATTTTAACCTTTCCCTTATTATTATTGTTGTTGTTGTTGTCGTCGTCGTCGTCGTTGTTGTCGTCATCGTTGCCATCGTTGTGTGAATTAACATTCAAGTAATCAAAACATATTGATGTAACAACATTAACATGAATGTTACTTGCAATAACCCTGTTAAAAATTTACATAAAATGTAAAAATATCATATCAACCATATCCTCAAAAAGTATGGCTAGAGCCCCTCTAGAGGGAATTCAAAGAATTAAGAGAGATCCAGGGTTTAACTTTCTATATCATGGCTAGAGCCCCTCTAGAGGGAATTCAAAGAATTAAGAGAGATCCAGGGTTTAACTTTCTATATCTCTGGTTTTCCAGGTTTCCTTCCCTCTTCTTCTTTGTTGACAAGCCTCCTCTATCTTGTACTCTTACAAGCCGCTCCGGTCCTTTCCGGTTGTTTACCTGCATTGATTGATCTTCATTTATGAGATATTCTACCTACTTCTTTCATGGCATTTAATGAAAATAGTTGACCTTCACTGCACTCATACCAAAACTCAATGTGCTGGCGAACAATAAGCCTAAGCTACAACACGAAAAAGAGACCCTGCTTCTGTCTCTCTTTGGTTCTGCTTGCTCCAAACCGTTTCCTACCCCAGCTTCCCAACCTTATGGCGTCAAGCGGTCATGGAAAGGAGCTATTAGAGTCACAGTATGAGGCGCTGAACATCCAGGACGAAGTTGAAGTTGATATGTCGTTCGGCGAGGACGAAGCATGGAATGACCATGATGACGGGGTATTCACTCTGGTGGGTACAATAGTGACAGACAAAGCTGTGAAATTCAACTTTCTGAAGGAAACTATGGCCACCACATGGCGTCCTGTCAAGGGAATGGTGGCAAAGGAGTTAGCATCAAATCTGTTCATCTTCCAGTTCTTTCATGAGAAGGATATTCGCAGGGTCATGGAGGAAGGCCCCTGGTCTTTTGATCAACATCTACTCAATCTGCAACAACTCCAGGAAAACACTTCCCCCTTTGATGTTGATCTTTCCAAAGCTGAGCTTTGGGTGCAAGTTCATAAGATACCAAAAAGGCTCATAAACCTCAAAATGGCAGAGTTCATCGGATCCTAACTTGGGAGCTTCATCAAGGCTGACTTGTCACATTATGATGGAACATGGATCGAGTTTATAAGGATAAGGATAAGAGTCCTAATGGATGTTACAAAACCTCTTCGCCAAAGAATCAAGATAAAGAGTGCTTCCGGGGAGGTAATAACCTTGGAATGCAAATACAAAAGGCTTCCCACCTTTTGTTTCTACTGTGGTGTAATCGGCTATAGTGAAAGTTCATGTATCAAACATTTTGATTCCACTGATATGGACACGCCTAGGGCATATGGGTCAGATCTCAGAGTAGTGGGTAGGAGGCAAAACTCCCAAGCAAACAGATGGTTATTTGCGCAGCGTCCAAATCGAAACACCTTACCGAAGAGAAAGGAGTCCACCACCGCCGATTTAAATCATCATCCGTCGGGAAACCCGGGGTACGAGGTACCCGTTGGACAAAAGGAATTTGTGCAGAATCTTTATCCAACGGTTAATGCTCAGTCTAAGGATTTGCATTCTCAGATGGCAGTTGGGGATAGTCATGAAAAGCATCACGCATTTAATTCTCCCTCAATCACAGCAGGAGCCATTATTGAAACCCAACCTATTGCCTTTGAGTCATGTCAGACGCCTACATATCTCTCAGTTAATGTTGGATCTTTGAAGGCTCCCATCTCAGATGCTTCGGCTAATATTGGCCCAATGTTTCAGCCCACCACAACTAACACTCTGCCTTTGGGCCTCCAAAATAATTTCCTTATTGGGCTTGACACGAGAAAGAAGAGGAAGGGCCCGGAGCCCTCACAACAGATTCAAGCTATGGATTTTTTCACTGCTATTGACCCGAGCCTCTCAAAACACTTGCTAGAGGCGGGACCTGCGTCACAGGCCCGCCTAAACCAATGAGTTTTATATCTTGGAACTGTCGGGGGCTTGGCAACCCTACGACGGTTCAAGTTCTTGTGGACATGGTCCACTCCAAGAGGACGACTCTTTTGTTTTTAATGGAAACTAAGTTAGGTGTGATTCAAATGGAAGACATACGCAAGTCTTTGGGCTTTGATAATATTTTTACTGTGAACATTGTAGGCCAAAGTGGTGGACTGGCCCTGTTTTGGAAAAAATCGCTTCAGCTTAATGTTTCTGACAGCTCGCTCAATCACATTGACATCATTGTTACAACCACTTCTCCCTTTAACACCTGGCGTTTTTCTGGCTTCTATGGGAACCCAGAACAACATAGAAGAAGAATTACCTGGGACCTTCTCAAGCATCTTTCTCTTATCTCCCCTCTACCGTGGCTGATTATGGGTGATTTCAATGATGTTCTCTGCCCAGAAGAGAAAATCGGTGGAGCTCGACAACCTCAATGGCTCATGCAAGGTTTTAGGGAGGCGATTGATTTTTGTGGTCTGAGAGATTACCAGTTCATGGGTAATCAATATACTTGGGAAAAAGGAAGGGGCTATCCTCACTGGTTAATGGAGAAACTCGATCGCATCTTAGTCAACAGTGCTTGGCTCGACAAGTTTGATGGTGCTAAAGCCAAATCCTTCGAAGCTCCAACTAGCGATCACATTCCTCTAGCTATTTGGCCTTCACCGTCGACACATTCAAGGAAGAGGAAAAGCTTTAAGTTCAAAAATTATTGGTTAAAGGAAACAGAATGCCGGGAGATAGTCCACCAAAGTTGGTCTAATTCGGAAGGACTCCAACTTTGCTCCAGATTCGAGCTCTGCAGCAGTGAGCTGTGGAAGTGGGGAAAAGATCTAAACAAGAATTTGCAGCCACAAATTGACAACCTTCGTCGACAGATGACTTTTCTTAGACCCAAAACTGATTCCCAAAGCATCAATGATTTTTCTGCTGCACAAGCTCAATTCCTATGCTTTCTCGATAGGCAGAACCAATTTTGGAAGCAAAGGGCCAAATTTTTCTGGTTCAAGGGTGGTGACAACAATACGAGGTTCTTTCACAATGTTGTCAAACAAAGAAAGAGGAACAATGAGCTTCTCAGGCTTTGTGATCAAAATGGCGTTTGGGTTCCTCAAGGACCTGAGCTAAACTCCTTGGTAAGAGACTACTTTTCAAATATTTTCTCTTCAGATGCTGGTAACTGTAATCATGTGCTTAATTTTATCAACTCTAGAATTACCAGTTCCCAAAATATTTTGCTGTTGAGAAACATTACGGCCTCTGAGGTTAGGAAAGCGGTTTTTAGTATGCACCCTGATAAGAGCCCGGGTTTTGATGGTTTCAACCCGGGGTTTTTCCAATCCTATTGGGATATTCTCAGTTAGAGCCTGGTTGATTTCTGCAATACTTTTATGGAGTCTGGTAAACTGCCGAAGGACATTAACACCACCCACATTGTGTTGATACCTAAGAAACCCATCCCGGAATCTATGGCAGACCTTAGGCCTATCTCTTTATGCTCTGTTGCTTACAAGATTCTAGCAAAAGTGTTGGCTAATATAATGAAGGTTTTGTTAAATGATTTAGTGTCCTCAAATCAAGGTGCTTTTGTCCCGGGTAGGTTTATCACCGACAACATAATTGTTGCTTTTGAAATGCAACATCATATGAAGAGGAAAACCCAGGGGAAAAATGGTCTAGCAGCCCTCAAGTTGGACATTAGCAAGGCTTATGACAGGCTAGAATGGTCACTGTTGAGGAATATCATGTCTAAGATGGGCTTCGATGCAAAGTGGATCAATTTAATAATGGAGTGTGTATCATCATTGAGCTACTTCGTGTTGAACAAGGGCCAGGAAATTGGACCCATTTTACCTCAACGGGGCTTAAGGTAGGGAGATCCATTATCTCCTTATTTGTTCATCCTAGTGGCAGAAGGTTTCAGTGCGATGATCAGGGACTACGAGAGGAAAGGCAGTATCCATGGTTTCTCTATATCAAGGATCACTCCGTCTATCAGCCATTTATTTTTTGCCAATGATAGCTTTATCTTCTTCAAAGCTACCATGGAGGAGGCAAACAGTCTGCATACTCTTCTTAGAGACTATGAGAAGGCATCGGGTCAATGCATAAACCTCTCCAAATCCACCATGGCGTTTAGCAGAAATACCTCTATCTACGTGAGAGATCAGTTAAGCAACATCTTGGGCATACAACACTCCAGTAGCAATGGGAACTATCTGGGTCTCCCTATGCTAATTGGTCGTAACAGGACATCGATTCTCAAGTTCATCAAACATCGCATAGTCAATCGTATTCACGGGTGGAATCACGGATTTATTTCTAAAGTCGGACGAGAGATTTTGTTGAAAACGATCTTCTAAGCTCTTCCGACATATGCCATGGGGGTCTTTCTTTTGCCTAAAGGCCTTATTAAATCTATTGAATCTACCATGAACTCCTATTGGTGGAAAGGGGGTGGCAGCAACAGTAAAGGAATAATCTGGAAAAAATGGAGCTTTCTTTGCAAGCGCAAGAAATGGGGAGGACTCGGCTTCCGGGATCTACATGGTTTTAACCTTGCTCTCCTTAGCAAACAAGCATGGATACTAGCCAATGATCCTAACTCCTTGGCCTCTAGAGTTTTGAGAGCAAGATACTATCCAAATTCCTCTTTTCTTGATGCCAAACTAGGTGCCAATCCGTCTTTTATCTGGAGCAGTTTAATGGCAACTCAGGATATCATCCGTAAACACTCTAGATGGAGAATTGGGAATGGCTCGCTTACTCGCATTTGGGGTGACAACTGGTGTAACACCCCCATTTCTTAAAATACATAAACTGTCAAAAATACATACAATTTTTTTTTTTTTTTTTGAAAACGAATGTAACTGCCGAAGAGAAAATAAAACTAAAAGAAAAGGAGAGTGCTACCGCCACGCTCAGGTATTTCTCTATACCCAAACGCTAAGGCTAAATTTACAATTTACAATAAACAACTCAAAATATGTATTAGTACAAAAACAACTAACAATTTAAATGTCTAACTAATAAATGATATCTCTAGGTGGTTCACTCATTATCATGTCCAATGCTCATGCAAGAGTTCCTACAAAACAATTAAAGAATAGAAAACAAAGAAACACACAAATTCAACATTAAGCTTGTAAGATCTACTTCACCCCGTAAAATATTTTGCACATAGCACATAACACACAGGAGCAGGTAATTTGCACATAAACCCCTTAAAAGATTCATATTCTCAACAATGCCAATAATCATTAATAATTTACAAATATATATTGAGGAAATCACACATAAGTCCATAAAACCAAATATCCACAAAAACTTCTAGAGAATCAATTAAGGCATTGCCTATCCATAATCCCAAAATCATTCAACCATTATTCTTTCCTCAAGATTCCCATATAACCTTTATCAACATTTCCATACACCCATAACCTCTAAATATTTCATAGCATCCTCATTACTCAATTTCTTTAAATCATAATCATAATATAATCACCAAAATAATTTCCAATAATAACCAAATAGAGTTTCCAAACTCTCAAAATAATAACCAAAGAGATAATTTCAATCTCTCAACATAACCTCAAAATAGTATTACCAAAGAGAGAATTCCAATCTCTCAATTTATCTCTTTCCAAGAGAACATCTTCCAATAATACATTTAAATTTCTCAAAATCAATCACACTTGATATATATAAATTGCCAAGAAGAAATGGGTACCAAATGGAGGATTTTCAAATTCTCAAAAAATATATTTTCATAAACAGGGAGTTTTCACAGCTCCCTAGTGAGTCAGCTTTTACATCACTACTCACTCCTCAAAACAACAGGGAAGTTAATATAAAACCCCCTAGTGAGTCAGTATATCTCAACTGCTCACTCCACAAAACAGAGAGTTTTTAGGCTCCTTAGTGAGTCGGTATATTCCAACCGCTCACTTCACAAAAACACCAGATGACACCACTTTCCATTGACAAAATATATATATCTAAATCCTCAAAAGTTCACCACTTAAAGCAAAATCTTTCCACCCAAATAATACTTTCAACTTTACACCTGAATCTATAACCTTTGTACCAATATTTCCAAAAATTTATTTCCAAACATCATATTAACCTCATAGATATAACACAGTTTAGCGTATTCCACACCTAATTATTATGAACACAAATCTCCATATTTATAAGAATGATAACAGTAATGATATTTCACAAGCAAGCAACTTCTCAATATCTCAAATAAGAAACTGACAAAAATTTTCAGAAACTATGACCTGAATTGCAGAATTTACTGAGAAAAATCGGTAGCCTATTTTCATATGAAATTTTCCAGATAAGTAGTAAAAAGAGTCTAGATTACACACAAAAAGTTTCAAGACAATCCAAGGCCTAGAAGTATTTTTTCCAAAATATTTCCCAACACAGCGCCAGACTGTAATTTAACTGGCAGAACACTGCCTCAACTTTACGAAATTATTCTGGAAAAACCTAAACATATTTTTAATCAAAACTTTCAAGTCTAGATTCTCCAGAAAAATGTTCAAGCAAAAATAAGTTTAGTAAGCATTTTTCACGAAATTTTCTTTCCAGATGCGCCAGTCAGAATTTTCTCAGGCAATGATCAAATTGTGTAAAATTTATCCTTCTTAATCACCACAAAATCACCATATTACATATGCAGAGTTTTCAAAACATCCAAACGCATATATCTATTCGCATAATATAATCAAATAACTTTTCACGTTAAATATCACATATTCATTAAAATCATGAATCACATAAACACATAGGAAAAGTGATTTTTGATTTGGGGCAAAAGAAATTTTAGTGAACATAAATCTTACCTGGATTCCAATGACACTGAAGGGTAGAAACGAAAAGTGACTTGCTACTGATGCCGAATTGAGAAAAGAGATCTACTGATGCCGAATTGAGAAAAGAGAAGAGAAGAGTATGGTGTCGGATAGAGAAGGATGAGAGGGTTTTTTTTAGAAGTCTACTACTGATGAAGATGAAGAGCAATTAGGTTTCTTTTTATTTCTTTTCCCCAGGTGGTGTGTGTGCGTTTATTAACAAACCAATATAAATATATATATATATATATATATATATATATATATATATATATATATATATATATATATACATTATAACTTATTTACGTACGTAGGTATGTATATTCTTATACCAATCTGTAACATATCTACATAAATATATGTATATTAGTTTAATAAATTAGGAAATTAGTTATTTATATATTAAGTTTAGAACTAAACTAAAGCCATGAAATAATAATAGTAAACTATTCTAAAGGATATTAATATCAATCTAATATTAACGTACAAAAATAATCGGGGTATCACACTCTACCTTCCTTAAAAGATGTTTCGCCCCCGAAGCACAACCATAAGAAAATACCGGGTATTACAATCTTACCCCCTTAAAAGATGCTTCTTCCCCGAAGCATAACCATAAGGCAACAAGGAATAACTGAGACTTGACCAATATGGAACTGAAGAGACTCAAACTTAACTTCAATACACCACAAAGATCAGATATCACATTCCCCCCTACTAAGAAATAAAGTTACGTCCCCGTAACTTTCATGCAAGTGCTTACCCAGGCTATATACAAATTAACTATCAAAATAATCCAACGATCACCATTAAGGAAAAGTAAGCAAATAGATAGCCAAATAAAATCACCAACTTCAACAATATTTTATCAAATCACGAATCACGAATATCAAAATAATGCACAATAATCAAATACTTATGCACAATATGCAAGTCTCACATCCTCACCACCATTTTTAAAATTTTAGATTTCTATCCAATTTTATTCCTAAGGTCTCGTAAACCTATGCTCCCAAAGGTTCGTACCGCTCTGATACCAACTTGTAACACCCCCATTCCTGAACGTGGCGGTAGCACACTCCGTTTCATTTAGTTTTATTTTTGCTTCCGCAATTATATTTGTTTTCAATAAAAAAAAATTGTATGTATTTTTGACAGTTTATGTAGTTTCAAAAATGGGGGTGTTACAACTGGCTACCAGACAACACCTGCCCAAAAATCTTGTCTTTTCCCTTCCCTCTTATGGAGAATGCTAAGGTGGAAGATCTCATTGATCCCAATACTCATTGCTGGGATGAATCCATTATTAGGGACATGTTCACACCTAGAGATGCCAATCTTATTATGAAGATACCCCTTCCTAACCTTTCTGTGCAGGATAAGATCGTATGGGGTCCAGAAGAAAATGGAAACTTCTCGGTGAAAAGCTGCTACAAAGTCATCGGTGGTGTTCTGAATGAGGCGGATTCCAAGAAGTGGAGCAATATTTGGCAGTGCAAAATCCCTCCTAAAGTTAAAACCTTTCTTTGGCAGGCTTGTAACTCTTGCCTTCCCACCAAGGACATTCTAATGCAGAAACATGTCAACTGTGATGAGAATTGTTGCCTTTGCAGAAGTGGTAATGAATCTATCCTACACCTCTTTGTGGACTGCGATTATGCTAAGACTTGCTGGAACTATCTACATTTTTACCACCTCCAGAGTGATGCAGATAATTTTGAATCATGGTTGACCAGTGCAATGGATTCTCTCTCCAAAGATCAATTTTGTATCCTCTCTATGGTTTGTTGGAATCTCTGGAATTTAAGGAATAACATTGTTTGGAAGGATCAGACTATCGAGTCAGCGAGAAGCTTGATCATCAAGACTAAATCCTACTACTCTGCTTGGTTAGCTGCGATATCTAAGGAACATCATATCCATAATGCTGCACTATCTAAAGATAAATGGGAAAAACCATAACAGGGTTCTCTGAAGATGAATGTTGATGCAGCCATCAATGAGGAAGGAGGATGTATGGGTTTTGACTGCGTATTAAGAGATGACCAAGGGCACTTCATCGCTGCATGGGGAGCTCACTGGAGAGGCAATTTCTCATCTAGAGAGGCAGAAGCCGTGGCTATTCGAGAATCTCTAATCTGGCTCAGATCCCACACTGATGGTAACATTGTTATTGAGACTAATTCCCAACAAGTAGTCCAAAGCTATAACTCAGATTCTGGGGAGTCATCTTTCCATTTGATCTTGGCAGATATTAAAAACTCTATGCGTTTATTTGCTCATAGTAGTTTAGGGGTCGTTTACTAACTTGGAAAAATGGAGGATTTTCCAAAAAATGGAGAAATTGAGAAGTAGAGAAATGGAAAATTAGAGAAGTTGTTTACTAAATTTCTTCTTCCAAATTCAATCTCTATCTCCATTCTTCCTCTTTTAATACAAATTTGGAGAATAGATAAAAAGCTTCCTCCAAATGGAAGAGTGGACACGGGTGAACAGTAAATCGCGTGAACAGTGCACGAGGTCCTGGGATCGAATCTTGCGTGTGGCGCTTTGTCTGTGTTTTGTTCTTCCCTTTCTTTTCCCCTACGTGGCTACGTCTTCCTCTTTTTTTTTTTTTTTCATTTCGTCCTTCTTTCTTTCTTTCTTTCTTATTATTATTATTATTATTATTATTATTATTTCCCCACCCCCCCCCCCACGTCTTCCTCTTTTTTCCATTTCATTTATTTCTCTTTTTTTTTTTTTCCATTTCGTCCTTCTTTCTTTCTTATTATTATTATTATTATTATTATTATTATTATTATTATTATTATTATTCCCCCCCCCCCACCCCCACGTCTTCCTCTTTTTTCCATTTCATTTATTTATTATTATTATTATTATTATTATTATTATTATTATTATTATTATTATTATTATTATAGAAATGAAAAATTGGAAATAGGGAATGAAAATTAGAAAATTAGAGAAATGGAAAATTGGAGAAATGGAGATAGAAAACTGGAAAAATGGAAAAATGAAAAAATGGAAATGGAAAAACAGAGAAATGAAGTAAACAACCCCTTAGTCTTTGTAAAGCGATCAGTGGATCAGGCGGCCCATCTACTAGCTAGGCAGTTTGTTTCTTTGTCTGATTGTTCAGAGTGGTTTACGAACCCTCCTCTATCATTTGTAACACTCTTATTTCGGATTTGAATTAATGCATTTGTCTTTATTTTCAAAAAAAAAAAAATAATAAAGAGATCCAGGCCGAACAAATTTCGCATGTGGGTGGCAGAGAATTAAAATCTCAAGTGTTGAACCTCAACGGTAATTTGAACAATGAACGTTCCCGCGTTCTCATCCTCTCCGACCACAACGCTACAACCTCCACCGCCGCCGCAGCCGCAGCCTACACCTTCGTTTCACGCACAACCAAATCTTGAGTCCACTGTCTCGTGGACCTCCTCAATATCCCGGTACTGCCGCAATGGACGGTTAGCGGAGGCAGCTCATGAGTTCACCCGCATGAGACTCTCCGGCGTGGAGCCAAACCACGCCACCTTCGTAACTCTTCTCTCCTGCTGCGCTCATTTCCCATCGCAGTCCCGGTCCTTTGGGGCTGCTATGCATGCGTATGCTCGGAAACTCAGCTTAGATACTCAAAACGTAAAAGTGGGCACTGTCGTTGTTGATATGTATTCCAAGTTCGGACAAGTGGGCCTTGCAAGGTTGAGTTTTGATCACACGAGTGTCAGGAATAGAGTGACTTGGAACACCATGATTGATGGGTACATGAGAAATGGCAAGTTTGACGATGCAGTTGAGTTGTTTGATGAAATGCCGGAGAGAGATGCTGTGTCTTGGACGGCTTTGATTGGTGGGTTTGTGAAAAATAGCCGTTTTCAAGAGGCTCTAGAATGGTTTCAGGAAATGCTGTTATCTGGAGTGGAGCCCGATCATGTGACCATGATCTCTGCACTTTCTGCTTGTGCTAATTTGGGGACTCTCAGTTTAGGCCTATGGCTACACTGCTATATTTTGCAGCACAAGTTTAATAACAATGTTCGGGTGAATAACACATTGATAGACATGTATTGTAGGTGTGGGTGTGTTGAATTGGCACTCCAAGTATTTAAGCGAATGCCCGAGAAAAGTATAGTTTCATGGAACTCAATCATTGTAGGTTTAGCCGCGAATGGGCATGGAGAAGAAGCACTTGAGTATTTTGATTTGATGCAAAAGAAAGGGTTTAAGCCAGATGGAGTGAGCTATACTGGAGCTCTCACAGCCTGCAGCCATGCTGGTTTAGTGAAGCAGGGGCTAAATTTCTTTAAAATGATGGTTGAACTTCATAGAATTTCACCAAGAATTGAGCATTATGGATGCATTGTTGACCTTTATAGTCGTGCTGGGAGATTAGAAGACGCTTTGAGCATGATAAAGACCATGCCCATGAAGCCAAATGAAGTCATATTAGGATCTGTGATGGCGGCCTGCAGGAGCCTCGGGGATGTCAGATTGGCTGAGAAGCTGATGAATTACATCTCTGAGTTGGATCCAGGTGGAGATTCAAACCACGTCCTGCTTTCTAACATATACGCTGCGTTTGGAAGTTGGAGAGGGGCGAGCAAAGTGAGGAGGAGAATGAAGGAGCTCGGGATACAAAAGAGGCCAGGAATCAGCTCAATCGAGGTCAGTGGTGCCATCACTGAGTTTGTGGCTGGTGACAAATCACATGAAGATTCAGAGTTCATATATGAAATGCTGGATCTTTTATCGCAACAAATTCGGGTATCGGGCTATGTTCCAGATGGGGATGCAAATCAACCATATGAATCTTGGTAAACAGGTATTTATGATGTTTCATTTAAAATTATCCTCCACTGTTTTGTAAGTGTGAATACTTAGTTATCATTTCATGTTAAATACAAATCAAACCACAAAGAGAGTTTCAAGAAAATTCATTCATTCTCATTTCTTAGTTTCTGATATGTCTGGTTCTAGTTCCATTGCCCACATCCAAATGAAATGCCCCCAACAAGGACTAACTATTTGTTGAGACATTTTTAATAATTTGGGGGACCTAATATTGTAGTGTAGTACTAGGCTAATGCTGCATATAATGCCTTTGGAACTGCCAGTTTCTGTTATGTTTACATTCTTATCATTGTTGATACCATGGACAGAGCCACTGTCACCTTTTCTGCAGTTTTTGCAAAGATTCTTTAAGTGGCGGCACTGTCCATCTGAGTATATATATCCTGAGAAAGTGAAATCTTTGGAATATGCTTTTTTACTGCCATTTCTGCAAGAAAAAGGTCACCTGGGGTGTTGACATAAACTGGTATAGATCAGATATAGATAACAGCTGGCCCTTGACAAAACAAATTGGGGAAATGGGAAAATGATTAAAATACCATTTACTACTATTTTGCACTCAATGCATGTGTTGTTCAGTTTGATATGATAAGGTATTGCAAATCTTGAATGCATATAACACCATCCTAAGGGCATCCAATGGGAGATTTTTCACAGTTTTTGAGAAAAAATTACTGGTTTGGAAGAGAAAAAGGAGAGGTAAAATGAGTTCTTTTGCTAATTCAAGGTTTTTGTCAGAAATGAAAAAAAAAAAAAAAAAAAAAAAAAAAAAAAGAGTTCTTTTCCTATATATTTGTGTATATATAGGGAATAGAACTTGGGAGTCGAAGTATTTTTCAAATGAATAAGGAAAGGCCAGTTAAGTAAGCTACAATATGACTGATTTGATAGATCTCCATCTGTCATTATTCTTTCTAGACAATCTCTGTGTAAGACAAAGGAAAATATGATAGAAAGTGTCCAAGTGTACAGATAGGAATTGAAGGTTAATGATTAAAACTAAAGATGATTCTTTCATGGAAAATCCAATTAGAAGCAAAACATTTAGTTAACCAAAATACTTATGAATAATAGTACTGTTACTGTTACCTTCATTTCTTAACCAGCAGCCCCTAAGATTTAAGAAGCCCGAAAACCAAACATTAAATTTCTCATATATATTAGAGGCAACTCAAGCCAAGTTGGTGTTGACTTGGTAACCACAAGATTACAAGTATTATTGTAAAAATAGGTCTAGGCGCCCGTCTAGGCACCGCTTAGGCGCAGGTGTCCGTAGACCGTGGCGATTTCCCCCTAGGCGCCCGCCTAACGCCTAACTCGACTGAATTCGGCCGAGTTAACTCGTCCATTTCGATCGAGTTAGCCGAGTTAACCTGGTCAACTCAACCTTGCTAATTTTATTCATTATATACATATATATATATATATATATATATATATATATATATATATATATATATATATATATATGTGTGTGTGTGTGTGTGATATGACATATATACACCCACACACGTGCACTGCTTTCTTTTTTTTAGTTAGCCGCCCGACTAGTGTCTAGCGCCTACTGCAACCATGGTTACAACTTGGACTTCCAGCAAGAGTGGCCTATTGACCTTCTTGATTTGAGCCGGTCAGTTATGATCAATCTAGGTTTGTGATCCTTTGTTGATTAGGGTCACAAGGTGCAAACCTTCGGATAGTGACCAAAAAAAAAAAAAAAAAAATCTCAGGAACAAAACATTGTATATTACATCACAAACATAATACACAGTAGTCCTCCAAACATTCTGGGATTGCTTATAAACTGCAAACCTTATATGCATCCATTAATTGCCTTGATTTTAATTTGCCAAAGTTACAGTGCTAAGTCCTAAGGCATTGTGGTGGGCTTCTTCCTGGGACTACCCCCATTGTGGTGCAGAGGGTCTGGTCCTAATGGTGCAGCCCTTAATTCCCATTCCACTGCACTCTTCTTCTTCTTCATATTCCCATTCTCATCTCCATTCCCATTCCCATTCCCATTGAATATCGATTTCTGTTTCTCGTCCTTCAAGGTATAAAGTACCTGCAGATATGTATGATATGATAGTATAAACACAAGAACTAATACACACACACACACACACACACACACACATATATATATAGTCTTGAAACAAAAGAGGAACCTTTCTGAACTTGGTTTTCCCTCCCCACTCCATCTTCATATCTGCCCAGAAAACAAAAGCAATCAAAGAAATGCTAAGAATATAAACCAAACCAAACATGTGATACCTGCAAGTGAATGCTGCAGCATTGCCAAGAGGAGGGTTGTCATGAACACTACACACACAACTTTGGCTTCGGTGCTCAATCCCATGTTAATGATACTATGGCTTTCCAACAACAATCTTAAACCAGTAGACCAAACTAATTTAGTATTGTCTTGTGGGAAGTTGCAACAATGGACCATGTCCCAATTTATAGAGGCTGTACGTAGTGTTCATTGTTAAATATTGAGAAAATTGCATTTTTGGTCCTCAAATCAGTCACTTTATTTAGTAACATACCAGTGACAGATATAATTCTCGATGTACTAAAATTATCAATTCACACATAACTTAGGGGTTAAAGATAGTCATGCATATAACTATTACACAAGTAAACATTTAGAGAATAAAATTGTCACTCTGTGATTCTGTGCATAACTTAAGGATTAATATGGTCACGCATATACTTGAGGACTAGATACGTAACACGGATATAACTAAAGATAAAAATGCAATTTTTTCTTAAATATTTTAAAAAATTTCTAAAAAAAAAAAATTAATTAATACTCCGTAATAAGTAGAAGATGCGAATCATACGATGAAATGATTGAGGTCTTTGATTAGCTCTGTTAAGGTAGATCCGATGGGTGCAAATTATATCGTGCACCGCAGTGCATAATCGATTATGCACTGAGATTCAAAACAACGTCGTTTTGTTTAATGAAAAGAAATGTCACCCGTTTTGCGTCGTTCCGCAAAAAGTAACTCTGTTATTCAGTTTCATTTTGTATACACTGCAGTTTCAGTTCAACACAATTATAGTTTCATTTCGATATAACTACACTTTCATTCGATATTTATATACTCAAATATGTGAAAATGTTATTTAATTTTATTTTATATACACTATAGTTTCATTAAAACACAACTACATGATCATTTTGATATAATTACAGCTTCATTGCACAATATATACTCAAATGTGTGAAATGGTATTCAGTTTCTTTTTATATACACTGCAGTTTCATTTCACCACAACTACAGTATCATTTTGATATAACTGCATTTTCATTTGATAATATATAAAATAATACGTGATGCATTGTCGGTTTAGATACACTATAGTGTCAGTTTAGATACACTGTAGTTTCAGTGGGTAATTAACACACCAAAAAATGCGCGCTGCGTTAACAGAAACGACGTCGTTTTGACTGCGGTGCATGTACACCGCGGTCCACGATATAACGACTTTCCGATGAATGCTCTTTTTATCACCTGCTTCAGTATTCAAACTGCAGGATGTCCTCCAGCCGATGATATATATATATATATATATATATATATATATATATATATATATATATATATATATATATATATATATATATATATATATATATATATACTGCCTGCCTAGGGGAGGAAGGAAAATCATTCAACTTTGTCCATGTGTCCAGATGAATGAATCAGATGTAATTTTAAAAACGACACGGTGACATTACTCGAACTTTGGTGCATGTAAATGTGTTATAAGTGCAAGTAGTTGGTGCACCTTTGCAAGTAAAAAGTTCAGGTAAAATCACTTATAAGTGCACCTACTTTCACCTACAAGTGCATGTAATTTTGTCTTGTTAACATTCATGCATCTAGATGCAACTATTTATATAACTATAGGTGCACCTAGTTATAACGTCAGGTGCACTTAGTTTTGATGCTCACAACGCCACAACGCCATCCACGTGTACGGTGATCCAAACGGATCTTCCCTGCACCAACCACGTGTGCCATGCTCACCAACCTCACATACATGATCCATCCAACACCACGAGTGCCGGTTGGGTGCTAGCGACACAACGAGGCGCGCACCACTCTCGCCGATCACGTCATGGCAAGCGGAGGCGAACATGCACCGACCTCCCTGCCTGGCCACGGGCCCCCACAACTGTGGCACAACCATAGCTTAACGAGCCACGTGGCCGAGGCGCACTTCCCACTGGGGGCCAGTGCGCTTTTCGACGGCTCCAGATGCCAGCCAACCGTCGACCAACCCCTGCTTGCATTCTTCCTGGGTTGATTCATCTCACCCCTCAACCCACCTACTTCTCCATACACCTCTTGACCTAACTAATGGGCTTATCAAACATGGCCAACGATACATCTCCATATCCAACCCAAATTAAACAAAATGTCACGCTATGGGTGTGTCTAATCAATTAACATATTTATCAAAAATAATGTTGTAGTTATCTAGATTATACAATTTTTTTTATCATAAATTATCTAATTATGTATCTTTTTAATTTGACAACCCAAAGATTTATTTTACACTTATCACTAACAATGCATTTAGGTTAGGAAATGAATTTTGGAGGAATAAGAATCTTATTTGGCAATAGAATAGAATAGGAATTACATTCTATTATTTTGTTCCTGGAATAAAAACACTTTAAAAATTGTATTCTAATGTTTGGTTGGACTATAGACTAGAAATGTAATAAATATTAAAAAGACAAAATTACCCTCCACACACACGTGTGTTAGTTTTACAACTTATGCAGTCGACGACTGACAATCTCAACTGATCGGGGAACAAGAAAATTGCCAAGAAAGATTATAATAAGTGTGGACAAGTGGTTATTGCTTTTATAAAAAGAATTTTGAACCCTTTACAAGGTCTTTTTTAAGGTATTTATACAGCTCAAACTTAATTATGGTACTGATGTAGTAAATACGGAGGTATTCACAAACACGTACAAGTACTAGGATTGGATCGTATGAAGATCATTAACTACTGGTCTATTTGCTGGTTTAAGCTATTAGGTTCAGGTGACAATGCAAGGTCAGAGAGTTTCGAGCTATAATATAGTAAGTGAAAATGCAAAAAAGTCTTCCCTTCCAGCATTAAATGTGGTATTTATAGGGGATGATAAGAGACACATGTCGAGCTCTCGGATGCCTAACACGTGTCACGCATGCAATCGGCTAGCTTGGGAACAATGCCACAATGTCGATGTGTTGCAATATTTCGGATCATCCACTAAGTGATATGCTCGGTACAAAGTCAGGAATCTGGGTCTCAATCTTTAAGTAGTCTTGCTCGGGGCGAACTTCCCAACCTAAGAATGTCGGGGTCGACCCTAAGGTGGAACAAAGTCTAATGTTGACGAAGCGTTCTCTCGGTCGTCGTGTTTAGGTCGGGCACATCAAGCTAGTGGTCAGTCAAAGTCGGGAATCATTCCTCTCGATGACCTGACCTAATACCGAGCATGTATACAGTACGTAGAGGGAGGTATACTGAGGGAATATTCCCTATCGAGTACTCAACTTAAATTAAAAAAGTAAATCCCTCAAATCTTGCACCTTAATTACAAATTAATTGATTTCTTGTAAAATAGGAAAATAATCTCATAAACTTTGAGACTAAATCATCTAGGTTATGACTTCCAAAAATAGGCTAGTAGCATGTTCTAGAATTGCATACCAAAATGAGTCAAGGTCGACAACTTGGGTTGAGATCGAACACCAGACCGCTGGTACCAAATCCATCAGTTAGTCCCCTATTTTCTTATGGCTCAAGGAGTTAACGACACAAGTCAATATTTTTTCGACTGACAACCCTTGCGATCTCCGTCATGTGGCACAACCTTGGCACAACCTCTTTCCCAAAAAATACCGACTCTTTTCACCCATTTTACTTTCACATTCTTTCTATTTCATAGCCTCAAGCTCTCAAGTCCTTTTTTTCCTCAATTCTGCGGTCCTAACTATCGTCTATTCTCTTCCTCAAATTCTCAAACACCTCTAGGTTTGACTCTCTCTATATTCTTTTCACTTCCCATTTTTAAATGTCTTCTTCTTCTTTAGTGGCCTCTCCCTCCACTTATCTCGCGCCCATTTGATGAATGGAGGTCATAAAACATTCCCTCCTTCATCTTCTGCTCCCCTTGCCCCCTTACCCCTCTAAGCCATATATCTTCCTTACCAGTGTTATTGCTCATGGTTCCAATTTTTTTGAAGATCTTGCTCCTCCACCATTTCTTTAATCTACTATGACTAAGTCCTCCAAACTCGAGTTCATATAAAACCTTATTGGCCCCTCAGTTGATGTAGTCTCCTCTGGCGAGCGATTCATTGATGAACCTCCACCAATGAGCTACCTTAGCATTCACTACCTTTCCATTCGCTACGGCCTCCTTATCCCTCCGCTTCCCCTACTCAGCCAAACCTGTCAATATTACGACTTGGTGCCCGGCCAACTTGCCCCTAACTTTTACAGGCTAATTACCTATTTCCCCACCTTTGTCACGACTACAAACTAAATGCTACCCTAGACTTCTACCACCAATTCTTTCAAGTTAATTACTTGCATCAGTTAGATGCCTCCCAAAATTCATCTTACTTTTCTAAAATGAATTATCAAACAAAATAATAGACTTATCCCCAAAAATATTACTTTATTCACGTAAACCAAACATGTTATAACTCTCTAAGTAATCGAAAGATTTAGAAATGGTAAGATGCTAATATGCTATTGAGTTGTAAAACTTAGACGCAAGTTTCTTCTCTACGTCTACGCGTATAGTGTGTTCACACCGTATTCTTCGCCGACTCGAAAACAGTCCTACCTTGAAAGTACTAAAACACCCACTTCCCCCAGTCCAACCTTAAGTCTTCACCTGCACGATACTCTCCCCGTCGCCGGCCATGGCCGATCAGACTAGGCCACAGCCTGTCACCAGCTACCCCGCCGGACCGGCTAATCAAAACGGTTATCCTCCACCCTCCTCCGGCACTGCCTATCCTTATGCCGCTCCGCCTCCCGCTGCCTACAACTATAATTACTACAACAACAATAACCCTTACTACCAGCAGCCCGATGCTTACGCCGTGCAACGCGCCACCTTCCTCCGGCGCGTGCTCGCCATATTCATCGCCTGCTTCGTCATCGCCGGCACGGTTATCTTCATCGTCTGGCTCATCCTCCGTCCCCGCCTCCCCGAGGTCCGCGTGGATTCGTTGTCGGTTTCCAGCTTCAACCTCTCGGATAACTTTCTATCGGGGAATTGGGACTTCCAGTTCACGGCTCGGAACCCTAACAAGAAGATGACTATCGACTACGATGACATTCAGGCCTCGATTTACTACGACTCGAAGCAGCTTGCTGAGACCAGTGTGGCGCCTTTCTTTCAGGATAAGAGGAGCGAGACCGCCTCCAAGGCTACATTCGCTGCTACTAGAACGTTTGTGGATAATAGGGTTGTGGAAGGGATCAAGAAGGAGACGCCCAACATTGAATTCGATGTGCTTATGCTGGCTAGGGTTAGGTTCAAGGCGGGATCGTGGAAGGCGAGGAGTAGGTTTCTGAGAGTTTATTGTGGGGAGTTGAAGGTCGGACTTGTCCAAAACAAATCTTCTGGCAACTTGGTCGGAGGTCCAAGGCAGTGTGTGGTGCGGCTTTGATGGTGACTAACTGCACTTTCAGGTGAATTTTCTTTGGATAACTCTGCCTTTTGAATTTGATTTTGCAAAAATGTATTGGTTGCCATTATGTTTAGGACGGCAAATATGATGTCATTTTATGTTCCTTTAATTTGGGGAAATTCTGATTGTTACATGCAACAAATGATGATATCATGAGTTGTTGAATTCTAAGAATTTAATTCTGATTGGGCCTTCTTTTGACAGTGACTTCTGTATGAAGTGTTGGTGTTACACTGATAAACTGGTAATTTGCTGTAAATTATGATATTGAGAAGAAAGACTAATTCTACTTGAATCCACCTAGGAAGCCTCTTTGTCCTCCTAGTATCCTAAGTTTTTGCAGCCGTGTTTTTGAATGTCCAAACTCCGAAAGTTACTCCTGTATTTGATTATCTATTTTATAAACTTAACATACTTAAATAAGTACACACTCATGTTAAGCTTGTTAAAACAGACTGGGATCCGTGACACATTTTATTTCTCGTTTGACATTAGTAATTGATGAATTGGTTAGTACATCCACACCTAGTAGAGCCACTTTCTCGTGTTTCAGATTTAATTGTCACGTTCAGCTCTAACAGCACATGCAAGTTCTAATTTGGTATGTGCTTTAGTGAGTTATCACACAAATGAACACAAGTAGAGATATTTTCTTCAGGCAGGGGAAACAGTTTGAACATTGGGATCATATTATTGCACCGTGGTTTGAGTTTGGCACTTTGGCACTTTGGCACTTGGAATGAAGAACTAACTTTTTGCTTCTTTGCTGTAATATATAAACTGAAACAGTATGACATCATTTTCAGGTTGGTATTTAGCTCCTTATTTTGATTTTTGGTGTGGCTGTGTACAGAACATTGAGTTTGTTCTTTGAAATTGAACTTTTCAACTGTTTGCAAAAGAATTGTTTCACAGCTCAGTTCTTTGTTTCCAAGAAAGTTATTATTGTACTCACAAAATTGGTTGTGATTTTGGCCCCCTTCATTGCATGAGATTTACTTGGAACAGGTCTCTCTCTCCTTTCTTGTTTAACTTTTTGGATTTACATGCTCTCTGAGTCGCTTCAATTGAATGGTTTAATCTATTTGAGCCAGGAAATCATGTTGTTTATTTATGTGGAACTTTTACAAGGGCAGTTAGATATTTGTTTTAAGAAACATAAAAACCTTGCTTTATTAAGATTGTTTATGATTCTTTTCTTAAGGATTTTGCTTGAACCATTTTTTAATTTATCAATGTATATTAATCTTTCCTAGTTTCATTAAACAAATCATCAAACCTCCTGAAGCTTTTGGTTAGTTGTACTTTGATGTTTATAGAAAATTTATAGGTCCTATTGATCCTACTATTTAGAATGCAAGTAAGCATGTTACCATTAGGGATTTGAAACAGAGCTGTACACCTTGGTAGAGGATGGTGGAGTTATTGTTTGGTTTTATAATTATCAATATTAACCTTTGTTTGTATAGTATTTTCTGTTAACAAACAATAGCTATTGCTAATGCAATTTCCATTTTGATTTTAAAAGCTCAGCTAAACCAATCTATACCATCTCTGATGAGTCTACTTGATTGTTTGCAGTGTTGCAAAAATCACAAAGCACTCATCAAGTGTTTGATGGGTGCCTAACTAAAAAAATGAATCTGAATTTTTTAGACTTGTAGGATTCTAGCAAGTATTCCTCCTATTAACCTTATCGTCTAAAACCTGAAGTCAAAGAAGATTTAGAGCCGATGGGCGCCTGGGCTGGAGTCTGGAGACCGAGACTGCCGTTGGCTTGTGGTGCTGGGGGCTGGGTGAGAGTTGCAATCGAGTGGTGCTGCTGTGATGTGTTACTGCAATTCTCCAAATGAAGCCCAATGATGGGCAAGATTAGGTTCGTTTCGCTCAAAACTAGGTCATTTTGAGTGAAGCAAACAAGGAAAAACTGACTAGTTGTCCAAGGGCATAATGTGGCAACTTTCCCATTCTTCCCTTTGGCTAGGGGTTCCTAGCACCTAGTCACCACTTAGGCGGATGTACAAATTATTGGGAAAAGATGTTGTATAATAACTAGCTTTAGATATAAAGTGATCTAGAGTTAAGGCTAGTGTGAAGTAGTGAAAGAAGAAATTTAATTGTGGTCCTCTGGCACCTATAGCTATAATAAACAATTAGTGTCAAAGCTGGTTTATAATAACTAGCTTTAGAAGGGATACTCTGTTATAGATATGGACAAAAGATTATTGCTAAGTTTTTGTTTGATGTATATAGTGTAAGGCTATCATCATAGTATATATAGCATTTTGAAAATAATAAGGGGGGTGTCTTGTGTCTTTACTAACCGGAGAAATGAAAACAGAAAATATGTTTACTTGTACATGTCTCTAATTCGAAAACAGAAATTGGAGGAATGAAAACTGAAGAATTGAATTGAAGTAAACGCAGTGATAGAGTGATTGTATTATGCAGGGCAGCAGGGATGCTTGTAATCTTCTTCCACAAACATTCTTACACTTGAGATATGTGTCTTGGCTAATTATGTTTGTGATTTTCAGTTACACACTGCCCCGCCCGGAGTCTTCTTCAACATATTCCTTCTCCTCCACCGTGGATTCTTGCTGCTCCCCTCCCGCTTGTGTTCAATGCATTTTTGATATTCCTCCCAACTCCAGTCTGCTGTGCCGTAGATAGTAATAGTAGGAGTATATTACACATAAGTTATTCAGCCACTAGCAGGTTATGAACAGCTTTTTCATTCTTCTAACTGAACATTTATACATATTGCTTGTGACAGCTGCTATTTTGAACCCCTGTTCTTCTCATGTATAACTTGTTTAATCATTGCTAAAGGGATCATACATGTAAGAACCATATGCATTTAAAAAAAAAAAAAAAACATTCACCTAACTAATACCTCCAATGGTCCTCCTAGCTGTGGTCCTCCCAAGTTTTAAATGACCTCCAATGATCCTCCATGTTTTAAAAAATAACCACCCGTGGTCCTTTTAGGACGTCTCGTGGTAATTTTAAATTCGGGTTATTTTAAGAATTAGGACCACGAGTGGTTATTTTTTAAAACATAGAGGACTATTGAAGGACTATAGCTGCTAAACCTTTAATACTCGGAGGACCATTAGAGGTATTAACTCTGAAAAATATTACTTGGATTCTCAAAATTTACTCAGAGCAAATTTAACAATGGAAAATTTTTGATGGTTTTTTAGATCATGTAGGAGAGCGAGGGAAGGGAGAAGAGGAAAAAGGAGAAAAAAATTATGACAAGAAGTAAAAATTTAAAAAAAAAATTGAAATACACTACGTGCGTCATATTGGTTGTGACAGTGCCTTTTAGAGCATCCACACTAGTAGTTATTTAGGAGTTATTTCTACATGAATTCTCTCTACTCAAAGTTAATAGCGGATGTGGGGAGGAGTTATTTCTAAAAGAGTTAATTCCAGCAATGGTCCTCCAACTATATTGATTTTCCACAATTGGTCCCTGGCTTTTAATTTGGACAATTTAGACCCTTAACTATCGAATTCTTTCCAATGTTAGTCCTTCCGTTAGATGAAGGTTAAGTGGATGTCAAATTGAGGGGTAAAAATGTCCTTTGAGTGTATTTTCCCTTTAATCAATTAGAAAAAATTGCAAGGGAGCAAAGGCCAGATGTCTTCGGGTTTTCTGGTTACTGCCTTCAGTCGCCGCCGTCGAGCCTGTCGTCGGAAAAAGTGTCTCTCTATCACCGCCAATGGGTAAAAACACGAAACCATGAGCAGATACCAAAAGCCCCTCTCTCTCTGTTACAAACGACACATGAACAAGCAATACCAAACTCATAAATTGTAAATTTCCCCTGAATCTTGACCTGTGGAATCATCTTTCTGAACGAATTTGTTGGTTCCTGATAATTAGATAATCAGAGCTGACCTCATAAATTCCAAGTATAGGTGATGATCTTGCATATTTCATGGATGCTGCTTTATGCCATGATTTTGTTAAAGGGCTAAACACCAGAACACTTTTGTGTGTCTTATAGGAGCTATTGTCAACCTTGCCAAAGTTAGAAAGACTAGTGCAACCTCTGACAATGTATACATCATCTCGGACACCGGCAACAGAGAACAGAAACCTATCTCTGAGTATTTCTGCCTCTAATTTGTGCCCCTGATTCAAGGAGACATCCAGTGCGTGTATTTTGTCTGAACAATAACCATTTTTTACAACACCAAATAGAAACAAACAAGGACTCGATTTGAAACAAACAAGGACTCATTCTCGTCAAATGGCGGCCACGCCTTGACTTTCGAATTCAAACCAAACTCTCCAGTCCCACTTATAGTTCACACCACGCTTCAATCACCCGACGAACCTCGATTTCCTCGGACGGTAACCTGGGCATGTTAGCAGCTTTCAACAACAACAACAAATTCAAATCAGACTCGGTGAACCACCTTGCCGATAACCCAGATCTGGTTCTCGAATTCCCGGCGGACGGTCAAGGCGGTGCCGTCGTCCAAGGCGATGCAGGCCGCTCTCGCCATCCACCGTCACCAACTCCCCTGTTTTTTGGGTCGTTGGAGTGTGACCCTTCTCGGGCTCCTCGTTGTCGTCGCTCTGAGCTATATGTACCCTTCCGGCGTCTTGCCATGTAATGTCAGTGAGACACTCGACGGTCAAGGCGGCGAGAGTGGCCAACATGGCCCACCGGACATGGATCAGCTCAGCCGTCGAGATATTCCGGCGCATTGTTTAGGGATTTAGGGAATTTTGTTATTCTGTATGTTGTAATGTCGTATACAAGGAAGGGAGGAAGACATTAAGTACTAAAATGACTATTTTACCCCTCAAATTAACATCCACTTAACCTTCATTTGACGGAAGGACTAACATTGGAAAGAATTCGATAGTCAAGGGTTTAAATTGTCCAAATTAAAAGTTGGGGACCAATTGTGGAAAATCAACATAGTCGGAGGACCATTGTTGGAATTAACTCTTTCTAAAATATTTCTCCTGCAAAGTATGGTATATTTGTGGTCCCAATATGTAAGAGAAATAATTAAAATATAGTGGGTTAAATGGTGGGTGCATAAAAGATTGAGAAATAACTCAAAATTGATGTGGAGAGGGATTTTTTGTAATTGAATGAGATGATAGAGGATGAGGTGGATGCTGGGACCCACAAATACCTGAGAAATAACCTCAACTGATAAGGATGCTCTTATGCACAAGCTATGCCGTAGCTTTTTTCATTTCTTTAATTAATAAGTCTTACAAAAAATTTATTTTACAGTAAAAAAATTCAAAAAATTATAAACTTCACTCCAAATTTTTTGTTTTGAAAGAACTTTCTTAAGAATTTCTATTGGTAATGTTATTATATAATTTTTTAATGTAGACAATTTTTTTTTTACAATCTACAAAATAAAGATAATTATCATTAGTTTAAAGATGGAGAATAGTAAAACTCAATTCAATTCACTTCTATGTTTTGTTCAATCAATGGTCACTGTTCCATCGATAAAATCTATCAAATTTTGACCACATAAAAAGAAACCAATTGCGTTCTTCAGAATAAAAACTATCTTATAATTAATTTAATACTAACAAAATGATAAGTCGTGGACAAGGAGTTCGTAGCCACAGGCAACACGGAAATAGCAGTTATATTTAAGAGAGTTCATTCAGAAATAGTAGTTATATTTAAGACAATCTATTTGTAAAAATTGATAAAGTTGTCATTGGTCGGAGATTGAGTAGTCATAGAAATCTCAACTACTGATATTAAATGAGAACTATATTTTTAGAATAACTACAAAAGTCACAAGATACAACAATTATATACACAAAGAAGAATTATAATAGAACTTCGGACTGATAGAGTCTTAATACAAATAATTTTTTTTTGGTCAAATAATAATGAAACGAAGATACAAGAATAATGAAACGAAGATAGAAGAATGTAGGCACCTAGGGTCAAAACCAAATTTGATCCTATTTGAATACGGTAGTACTCCTCCGTCTCATTTTATGTGTCTGATTCGGTTAACGAGGTTTGACTGAAGGTATTTTTAATCTAATTTTTCATAATATAAAGTTTAGTATTAATATACAAAATTTATATATTTAGAAATTACACTAAAAATACTATTAAATACAAAAAATAAAATTTAAAAATAAGTAAAAGATATTAAAGAAATAAACAAAAAAGAAAGAGTTGATTTAACCGAATAATAGGTAGGACTGATAAAATGAGATTGATGGAGTAATTTAATGTAGTGTGGATCTGCCTACTAGTGGTAGAGTGATCCAATATCCAAGACTTGTTTGATGAGGTTGTTGTTGATGGCAGTACAGCACATGCTGTGATCAGAACCATTTATTAGTTATTACCATGCATTTTACTTTACAAATTAAATATATTACTTTATGTTTCATTTTCTACTTTCAAATTTATTTGTTTTACTTCTCCAACAAATTATTGCGTATATGTAGCGATGACTACGGTTCGGTTCAAACTGAACCGGACACTATAGCAATCGATTTAAAAGTTTCCGGTTATGATTTAGATCTAGAACCCAATATTTGGATTTTAATTTATTAAAATTATGAATAAAAAAATTGGATCCTGAATCGTGAACCGGCGGTTCTGATCCGGTTCGCGATTTTGAACCGTCTTTATTTTAAAATAGTCTAAATTCAACAATAAATGTATTTTATTTTATTTTTTCAGTTCGGAGCATGAACCATCGGTTCCGGTTCGCGATTTTAATAAACTCTAAATATCGCGTTTCGATTCTATATTGTAATTGAACTATTTTGGTTTGGTTGATATAGTGTCTGTTTGGTTTGAACCAAATTATAATAATAATTTGTTGGAGAAGAAAAACAAATGAAATATTTATTTTAAAGGTAAATATGTTCATTTAACATTTCATGAAAAAAAACAATCACTTGAATAATTTAGAGAAAAAAATAGTATAAGTATATAACTCAGAGAAAAAATGTCATTTTCTCTTCCTGGAATTATTGTTCTCATCCTCTTCTCCTTCACCCGCCTTTACTTTACAGTTGAACTGTAAATAATAAAAGAGCTGAGATCACCCATTTAGCAATAATCCCACCCATGGCGGCCCAAGAGTGCCCGCACCACAGCCAGAAGCTCCACCGCCGCCTCCTCGCCGCCGTAGTCGGCGTCGCAATCCTAATCCTCCTAGTCGTCCTCCTCGCCTGGGCCGTCCTCCGCCCTTCCAAACCCCGCTTCGTCCTCCAAGACGCCACCATCTACGCCTTCAACTTCACCGCCGCCGTCCCCGCCCACCTCACCACCAGCATTCAGCTAACCCTCTCCGCCCGCAACCCCAACGGCCGCATCGGCGTCTACTACGACCGCCTCCGCATCTACGCCGCCTACCGCGGCCAGCAGATCACCCTCCCCACCCACCTCCCGCCCACCTACCAAGCCCACAAGGAAGTCGCCCTCTGGTCCCCCTTCGTCTACGGTAACTCCGTCCCGGTGGCGCCGTACCACGCGGCCGCGCTCAGCCTCGACCGGAACGTGGGAACGGCCATGATTAACATCAGGGTAAATGGACGGATCAGATGGCGAGTGGGGAGCTTCGTTTCCGGCAGGTACCATTTGAACGTTGACTGCCCGGCGTATATAAGCTTTGGAGGATATATCCCAAATACTGTAGTGGTCGGCTCAACCATCAAGTATCGATTGATCCTAAATTGTCATGTTAATGTCTGAGCTAAGTTAATGCATGCATTGATAATTTTGTCATTTTTTTTTGGGTAGTTTTTAATTA